TAATCAGGATGGGTGTATCGGAGATGGTGCGATTGGCACAGGACAGAGCAGAGTTTAGGGCTGTTGTACATAGGGTCGCTATGAGTCGCAAGCGACTCAACAGCACACAACAACAACAACAACATGTGCACTTCTTTATTGCTTCGTCTTCGCATGGACACTCAGGTTGATCCCATCCCTTTGCTATTATAAATAATACTGCAATGAACACGGGTATGCATCTATCTGTTCGTGTGACAGCTTTTGTTTATTTCAGATATATACTTAGTAATAGGATTCCTGGATCGAATAGTATTTCTATTTCCCACTTTCAAAGCAAGTGCCAAACTTCTTTGCATAGAATTTGCATGATATGTATGCATCTTCTTGGAAAGAAACTAATTTTGTCGTTTACTTGCCTCGTACTTGTACTAGACACCAGGGGGCGATAAGTAACCGAGTAAACCTGTTGCTGTCAGTCTAACGCAAGAGGCTGCTTTAAGCAGCCAGCTGAAGTGTGACAGGGGAATTAAATGCAAAGGGCTTTGACCTCCTTTCCTCCGCGATGTCTGGCTTCGGATTGTGTGTGTGAGCCGGGGGTGATGAGATCCTGGATTTAACTTCAGGGTACGGCTGTGCAGCTCAGGGAGCTTGGTTCTAGTTCAACCACCAACTGCACAAACAAATCGAAAACCTCCTTTGTTGAGGTGGCATGGGAACAGACACATTGCTGACCCTCGGGCAGGTTTTCCAAGACTATAAACCACAAGAGAGAGAAGAGATGAGCCATCTTTCTGGAGAGGAGCCACTGATGGATACGAGCTGCATGCAGCTCCTTACGGACTACAGCATGTGTACGCTGGTTCACACTCTGTGGGCCTGATGAGAAAGGGTAGTTTCTAGCGCCCTTAAGTACTGCAAACCTAGAGACAGGAGGTTCCAGGGTGCCCACAGGAGGCTTGAACGATAGGCTTGCTTGGCAACCTACTTCTGAAACACTGTTATTGCTGTTATTGTGTGTACCACCGAGTTGGAACTGACCCATAGCTGACTCGCCAACGGGTTTTCAGAGGCAGGGAATCACACAGGGAGAAGATTGTCCATTTTTCTCCTTCAGACCAGCTGGTGGATTTAAACCACGTTCCTTTTGGTTGGCAGTGCAACTCCTTACTACAAAGCCATCAGAACTCCTTTTCAAAACTTTAGCCACAGTTTTGTACAGTGGCAATATCATAACCAATAGTGGCTATCCAAAGCACAATGATTGCTAGTTGAAAACTTCTCAAAACATTAGCCACTGAAAAACCCTGGTGAACACCTTTCTCCTCTGACTCACCTCGGGTCACAGTGAGTTGATGCTAGCTTCACAGCAACAGCTAAGGTAATTTATAACACCCTTCCTCCTGTTGTAATTTTCCATTATTTACTATGCATTTGAAAGTGGACAATGAGTAAGGATGACAAGAAAAATCAACGCCTTTGAGTTGTGATGTTGGAGAAGAGTGCTGAACATTGCATGGGCCACCAAAGAACAAACGAGTATGTCTTGGAAAAGGTGTAGCCAGGACGCTCCTTGGAGGTAAGGATAGTGAAACATACTTTGGACATGTTGTTAGGAGGGGGCCGGTTCTTGGGAAAAGGGGCATCATGCTTGGAAAGGTGGAGGGTCAGTGAAGGAGGGGAGCACACTCAATGAGATAGACTGACACAGTGACTGTGGGCTCAATGATCAGAGATGAGGATGGCACATGGGTGAGCAGGGTCCAGATCCACTGTTCACAGGGTCACTGAGTTCTAGTCAGCTCAACGACACTTAACAACATTACTCCCATTGCAGACCAGTGGTTCTCAGCGCTGTTAGACCCAATAGACCTTTTTGTAATGCCCTCTTCATAGTAAAAGAGGGAGCTCTAGTGGCCTAGTGGCTGAAGAGTTGCACTGGCAGCCCTAAGGCAAGCAGTTCAAATCCACCACCTGCTCCACGGAAGAAAGATGGGCAATTTATCTCCTCTTAAAATCTGCTGGAGAGGCCAGTTCCAACTAATGCGCAATGAGGAGGAGGAATAGTGTTGTGTACCACCGAGTCAGAACTGACCGATAGCTGACCCTCGGTGGGTTTTCAGAGGCAATTTAATCTCATGGGAGGAGATTGTCCATCTTTCTCCCCCAGAGCAGCTGGTGGACTTGAACTGCATGCCTTTGGGTTGACAGCACAGCTCCTTACCACCAGGCCACCAGAGCTCCTTAGTAGCAGTCTATCCTGAAATTAAGTTCATAGATAGTAAGACAAATCTGCACACAGCATTTTTTTAAAACCTAAAAAAAGTTAACATGATAAGAAGGAGAGAGACAGAGGGTAATTTATGACCAAACATGTTGTCTCTCAAAATATACACACTCGGGCAAGAATTACTAGAATGCATAATGAGGTAGGCAGATGGCATCTACCTAATTATAAGAAATACACTTGAATTGAGGAGGAACAGAAGATGAGAGCTGTTGGATGTAACACACACATGCACGCACACACTAAATTAAAGAACAGTGGGGGTAAACGCTAGGCTGAAAAATTAATGCTAGGTACATAATAACAGAACAGATGCGCGTGCATTTACTAAGATAAAGAGGGAATAACCAGGATAGAAGACAAACCAACAAGGCAAACATGAGCCGGCAACGTGAGACAGGAAGACGCGTGACACCCTGGGAAGCGAGTAGGGCCTTGTTTATGTGTGTATTCGCCACACAGTCCCCTGTGTTATGACACCGAACTGGGAATTGATGGAATATCACCAAAATCTCTGTGTCTGCAAATGCCACCACATGTTGTTGTTGTTATGTGCTGTTGAGTCGCCTGCGTCTCATTGTGACCCTATGTACAACGGCCCTAAACTCTGCTCTGTCCTGTGCCAATCGCACTGTCTCTGACACTCCCATCCCGATTATCCCAGTCACTGAATCAATCCACCTCATAGAGGGCCTTCCCCTCCTGCGCCGTCCCTCCACCCTCCCAAGCATGATGTCCCTCTCCAAGGACCAGTCTCTCCTCACAACATGTCCAAAGTATGTTAGACGGAGCCTCAGAATCCTTGCCTCCAAGGAGCCACCTGGTTTAACCCTTTTCAGGACAAATCTGTTTGTTTCATACTGATAGAAAAATCTCATCTCCAAGACTTTATAGAGCCCTGGAGATCTTTTATTTCTGGTCATAATGGGAATTTAAGGACAGATATTAAAGTATGATATCAATAGTTCAGAGGAGTTCACAGTGAGCTCCAGGGAGGATGTCAGAAAGAGAAAGGACAGGCAACTCGCCAGGACATTTCCCCGCAGTCATTACCACACGGGCATTCATCCTTAGCTCAAACCCCTTACACGTGGAAAAGAGTAATGATAAATAATCATGTACAAAACCTTTTACTAAGGAGATCCCAGCCTTTCAGGGTCCCCCACATTTCAGGGATCTCTGCTTCAGTATGTCTGGTTCTTTCTGCCTCCGGGAAACATTTGTAGTTATTCTCTGTTTGTTTGGAACGGCTTTCAAACAAATACATAGTGGCTGACACGTTACAGTACACCACGCAGACAACGCACGCAGTAAATTATCCCGTCATCCCCAGATAACTGCTTGTCCATGAATTTCCACTCTGTAGTCACCATCATGTAGCGCTGTGGTTAAAGCATTCAGCTTCTGACCATAAAGATGGACAGTTCACGCTCCCCAGGGGTTCTGTGGGAGAACAAGTAAGAAGTCTGTTTCTGTGAAGACTTACAGGCTTGGAAACCCGGTGAGCAGTCATATTTTGTTGAACAGGTTCACTATGGGTTGGAATCTATTCGATAGCCATGGCTTGGTTTGTATTTTGGGGTGGTTGTT